TATAAAAAATCAAAACAATGGTGGGGGTCGGTGCCGTGGTGGGCAAGTGACGTAAACGGTGTTGCGGCTTAACACCGGTATCACCATCAGCAGTACATATCACGGCAAGCCTAATGCCCCGCCTTTCTGAAACTCGTCGATTTTTACAAAGCACATCGTTCTGAAAAGCGAGGTGAAGCTGATTGGCCAGCTATCCAGTGCGTTGTGATTGGCTGAATACCTCAAGCGTGTGACGGAAATGTTACGCCCCTTACCATACTGTGATGCCATGTCCCGGCACGACGAGACAAAACCAATAAAGCCCATTACAAACGAGGCATTTGTTGCATCCAGTGGTGACATAATTACTGATAATAATGACTTATACTGTCTTTTTACGCATTGCGTCGCGCCGCGTAAACCATACAACCATGTCTGCATTTGTGATGTGAGAAACGACAAACAACAAGCGCTACTCTACACTGCTTAAAACTCGCATTTGAATCGTCAGTGGCAAATTCTTTAAATATAAAAAACATATTATTTTTTATTGATTGTCACCACAATGCGGCCATTCAAAACCTTTATAAAGTCCTCATTCCTCTGGAAACTGTCTTCTAATGGCTGAAACAACACATGCAGGTAAGGCCGTCCTGATGTGCCTGCTCAGAATGCCATAGACCCAGCGGACAACTTGCCTGTATGCTGTCAAAATTGTCTTATACCAATGGCATCAAAAAGTGTGACTTACAGGTAGTTGTGACCTAAATATAGGCAACTTGTAATTGAAAAAAAAAAAAATTATTTAGATGTTTTTAATATTTAAATCTTTAAATTTACTATGTATTTATACATACAAGTATTTAGCTCAGAATAATAAATGATCTCTGCCTTAAACATACATGGGTCTGCTGGCCTGGAGAGGTCCATGCTCCTGTCTGAAGTGCATATAGGCTGTCTGTACCACATATGGGTTCAGACAGCAAGCCTCAAAGCCTGAGTGCAGAGTCAGACACTGGACAGCAAGTGTGGGGGTCACATTCTCCACTAAGGCCCAGTATGTAACTCCCTGCAGCACTGACTTTCCTCAGCTGTGACCATGGCCTCACATTTCCCGCACATAATGTAACAAAAACGTGTTTATCTCTCTCTCTCTCTCTCTCTCTCCTGCGGTGATGAGAAACCGCTATATCACGTAACGTTAGTGTCGAGATATTAACGAGTGTGACACGCCTGATCAACGCTTATTAGTTTCTGTTACTGGTAAGTATCAATACTCATAGACGACCAATACTAGATTTGCTATTGCCTGATTACATATCGTTAGCTACCGTGTGTATATCTGTAAGCTAACACTGTTCTCTCGCCAAGTAACCTGCCCTGTTCTCCTCACACAACTCAATTTGTCTCCTCTGACCGTTGTTCTGTCTAATCCTGGCCTGTCCCTGTTCTCTTGGCCGCATAGCAGGCTCATAATTGTATCTGTGGTCCATCATAAGTGTCATCGTCCGTTTCATTGGAATTTTCAAAATTTAATTGCGATCTATTGTTTTCCTATGGACCGCTCTCCCTCTCGTTACGTCACTTCCGGTTTTGGCGGTTTTCAGATGCGGAAGTAAAATTCTCTCACAAAAACGACTCCAGAATCCTTAATAGTGTATTTTAAAGTATAGTTTAAAGAAAATCTAGTTCCTACATTATTTTTCTATACATTGACTAACTGGGGTCTCTAACCTGGAATATGCACTTTAAGCTGGTATATAGTATCGTAACGTGTTTATGGTATTGTGACAACCATGAGAAGCATTCAAATTGTGCACAGAATTATTACATTATTAATTTCAAGGATTGTACAACCTTTTGAGAGAGAAATTCAAGTATTTCACACAACTATTTTCAGCACTTTAAAGCTCTAAAAATGATCCAATTTAAATGTTATTTTTAATGGGATGGCCAAAATATACTTTGTGGTAAAAGACATCAAATTAACACTATAACCAGCTGTCAGCAGAGGAGAACTTATTACTAATAAGTCATTAATGTCCACTTTTTTGCTTTATATTTTGACATTATAAAATCACTATAATAAAATATCAAATCATCAAGAAATCAAATTTTGTAAAAGTTTCAAACTTTTTTATGTATAAAGTAAGAAAAGTCACAAAGTGCCTTGAAAAACAAACTTTTCTTCAATTTGCGACTAATTCACACAAAGCAATAAAGACTGTTCCTTTTATAATCACTGAAGTTGTCGGTCAGTTCAGTATAATAATATAGAAGAATAATGGTACATTTAATAAGAGTAGAATATATACATTTCCATTTAAAAATGAGATTTTGCACGTTACTGTTGTTAAAAAAAGTATGCTTCCCAACTCAAGCTCAGTGCTTTACTGTCAAATGTGTATTACCAAGAAACAAATGTGTAATAATATTATTAGTAACTGCACTTATTAATGCAAAACAATAGTAATTTTATCAGTAAATTATCTTTATTTTTAATACCCCACACACCACCACCCCAGCGCTACCAAATCTTCTTCTGGCGCCACCATCTGTACGTAGTGGCGCTGGTGCCACTGCTCTTAAATGTTAGTCTGAAGCCCTGTTATTGTGACATATTTCCAACTGAAACTAATGAAAAGAGGGTGGGGTTTTATTTTATCGCTCCTCCTCTCCATCTCTCACTCAAAGCAAACTAGCGGTTGGAAGGGAGTGGTTAAGGACATTGTGCCCAAAGCATCAAACTGACGTCATCAGAGAAGGAACGCCATCCCAGAGCAGAAGCAAATGTTCAGATTTTGATTAACAATTACCAAGACAATCCATTTTTAGCATGCGGGTATATAAATTAACATCTGTGGATTTCATGTGGACTTTAACCAATATTATGCTGATTTAAAAAAAAAAAATACATTTAAGTTCTCTGTTATATAGGCTAACCTGCAATTTTGCAAATTTCCAGTTTGTTCCCATTAATAGCCATATATTCCCATTAATTTCCATGGAAAATTGCCAGAATTTTGCAACCCTACTCAGTTTTTGATTTTGCACACCTACTGGCAAAAATTAAGAAATTACTGTCGCTATAAGATATTTATAACAAAACTGGTGCCCCAATGCTTGTCAATGGCTTAATATAAAAAACTGTTTCTTTGCATTTATTTTGGATTTATTGTCAGTACTGGACGGATTTTGTACTCTGTGTGTGTTGATGACTGTGTTCGTAAGTCACCACTAAAGCCTAGTTTAGCATTTTAACATTTAAATGACTACTAAGACTAAAACAGTTAATGGGTTTATCTCTTCATCATTTGCATTAGGCCTATGCCTTAATAAAAGTTAAGCCTGTGCTAGTTTCATCAGGGTTGTCTGGGGAACTGAAGGCTCCACATTCGTTTAAATTAGCTCTTTTTGTCATGAATAGGCCTGTCACGATAACAACTTTTTATTGTGCGATATATTGCCCCAGAAATAATTGCGATAAGCGATATTATTGTCATTTTAAATACCGTTTTATGCCACTGAATATATAATCATAATATAACAGCATAACAATGCAAGAAGGCCAACACACTTCCAAATGACAACAAACTTTAATTTTTTAAGAATATTTAGATCATGAAAATTAAGTATCAAAATATTAGATACCTTAAAAAACCTGAATAAATAGTAAATAAACATTTTCTAACAAAAAGTGCAAAGTAACAAGTAGAAAAAAAGAAAAATGCACATGAACTTGTATGGAGATTTTTCCATCGGCAGATTTTTCCCTGACCTTCTTTTCTCTGTAAATTAATGGTGCACACTATTGCTGAAAAACACAATCACGACAGCAGTCAGATGTCCGTATGCACAAAGGCACAGGTCCCTAAACAAGGCCATATCTGCAGATGAAACTTTTTTTGTAGAAGCATTTTTTTAAATGTGAACTATCACCTCATGACTACACCACGTTATGTACAAGAAGCTGCAAAAGACACAGGCGCAAATGGAATGTACAAAAACAGTGACATTCATTTTTAAGTAAATATAATGGGCGATATATTGCGTCACCAAAAATTATTGCGGTCATGTACATATATTGCGCGATAAGTCGATATATTGATTATTGCGACAGGCCTAGTCATGAAATAAACTAGTTTGCAGCAGATTTCATGCTTTAAGAGCAGTCTGCAGATCTGAATAAAAACTTGAAAGACAAAAAATAACAGGGTCTTCTTGAGCAAGTTGTTTTACAAACTTGATTCACAATGTGATGTTTTGCCAATGTTGTGTCTGGCCTGTATTTTGGTGGTTCCTGCTGTATGTTTATTTGTTTCAAACGGTCCAAACATTCCTGTCATTATGAAAGACTGAGAGCTGCTTTCACACACAGATTTGAAAGGATCAGGCTGACAGCTATCACAATCTACAATTATCATAAAATGATCATAACAGCTCTTCTGATAGAAACCCAGCTGTTCTCCATTATTTCAACATTCAACGTCTGGACAGGATTTAACAGTAATTATTTACAATCAATGTGTAGCTGTACAAATATCACTCAAGGTACACTTCACGTCTTCGTGATTATATCTAATGTTACTGCTCTTACGTCTGGACATTAATGAGATCAACAGCTCTCACTAACCGCCGATCCTTCGGTAGGTTTCGGTGTCTAAACTCTCGGATAAAGTGAAAGGATGCTGTCGTTAACTTATGATGACTGAATCAGGACAGTGATGCACTTACCTGTGTTTTGGACATCAGGGGATTCCAGAGCGAGTGATTCTATGGGTCGTATCTGATGCGCGTTTTGCCCGATGTGTATCGGATCGGAACGATTCGAACACTCGGATCTCTCGAGTCCACCGCAGCCCCGCGATGCGACCGAAACCCCCGAATAATGCGAAGAATCGCTGTGCTTGTCTAAATACGCAGAGCTCTCGTGCGGTCTGTTCCGTCCATTCTGCCGGCTGTGGAGTGTGTTTATTACGTTACTCGGTCCAAGCGGCCGAACTTTACAGTCAAACGGCCAAGCGGTAGCGTTACCGCCGGCTCTCTGTTGTGATTTCAGCTGCTGTGAAGCAGTCGATCTGCTGCCATTTTCGGGATTGAACATCGAGTTTCTAAGACCCGCGACGAACCGCTCGAAAGTCAGACACCCGTGATGCGGTGCGACGCGCCTTAAACTCTCCAGAACGCCCGCGGGTAAATCGCGAGCCTCCGCGCCGCGCCACCGACTCTCAATCTCAGATATGTGAACGTAACCCCTCCTTCCATCGTCAAGAATATCGAATAAAGTCCGCAAACTGTGAAGGAAAGCTTTTGGGAGACCTTGTGTGCTGAACTCCGTGTCCTTCGGCTGCATGTTCGCTGTTTGAAAACTTTTCTGACGCCACTTTGTACAGTATTGACTAGTCCGTTGCCTTTGCCATTAGATTCTGTTTGTATTAAGGCCATTAAGTTTTTATTTTAGCACACTTTATGTCTTATTTTCATGTGAGATTTCGCTTCCGTCTCCAACAATCAAACTCCCGCACGCATTCTGAGCCCAATCCTCCCCTCTGTCGCTCCGCCCTGCTAACGCTCGCGCAGCCAAAGCGATCCTCACGCTCATTGGCTAAAGGGTGAGGTGCTTCACCGTGATTGGCTGAAACTACAGCAACACTAGGTTTGAGTTTTGCGGCACAAGTATTTGAATATCAGTAAGCAAGTCACATTTCCCGCATATTTTGAGCAATGAGAGAACTAAACTAATGAACATTTCTTTATGATCCAATACCAAATATCAGTTTCTCATACATTCCTTTTTTTTTTAACTAGAAATAAAATGTGGATGTTTCTTCGTCAGTGGTTCTAATATTGATCAATAGAATAAGCAGATATTTTCTGCTTCTCGTTAATTTTATTTATATAAAATTCTTATTTCATTAAAACTTGTTTTTAATACTGTGCATTTAACCGAATGAGACTGGGTTTTGTTTGTTTGTGGCGCGAACGGAAAGGACGAGATGTGTGGCAAAGTATGGTGTCCCATACTTGGAATTTGTGCTCTGCATTTAACCCATACAAGTGCACACACACAGCAGTGAGTAGTGAACAAACACGCACACCCCGTGAACACGCACCCAGAGCAGTGGGCAGCCAGTGTTGCGGCGCCCGGGGAGCAGTTGGGGGTTCGGTGCCTTGCTCAAGGGTCTCACCTCAGTCGTGGTATTGAAGGTGGATATTCACTCCCCCCACCTACAATCCCTGCCGGACCTGAGACTTGAATCCACAACCTTCGGGTTACAAGTCCGACTCTCTATCCATTAGGCCACGACTGCCCCCGTGAGATAAAGCCCACACAGCTTTCTATGCCATAAAGTGACAATGAGAGATCCTATAGAGATCCCAATTAGAATTTGGTTGAAAATATTAGAATCAGTGACTGAGCCGATTGCCCTCTGGTGTGGGGTCCACTTACAAATCCAAATCAAGAATTCACCAAATGGGAAAAACATCCAATTGAGACCTTGCATGTAGAGCTCTATAAAAAAATACCTACAAGTACACAGGCACACAACAAATAATGCATGCAGGGCAGAATTTGGCAAATATCCACTAATTATAAAAGTGCAAAAAATGGCAATCAAATTCTGGAAGAATCTAAGTCAGTGACTCTTACTCATACCATTACGAAGCCCTGCAATACTAAGAGGTGAGCATGCAAAACCAATCCTCTCCCTCAGCTGGTCCAGAGCTTCAGTCCTGATGTTTCACTAAAATCTACTGACCCCCATCACATTGATGCTCTGAACCAGAACAATACTGCCAAACCTACTACTACACTCTAAGAAGAGTTTGAACCTTTGGAGTTCAAAAAAGAACTTTAAAGTGCCAATATGAACTTCTAACTATAATAAAGGTTCAAAGTTGAACCTAGCTTCTATAATGATCCATTGATTATTTGGCACATGTTGTCAGTTCATTTTAAAACCTTTGTTGTAGCAGAAGGGTTCTTATATGAACCTGGCCTGTTGTTAAGGTTCCTTTATGATTATGAACCTTATAAGATGAACTGTAGATAACTGATGCCCTTGCTTTGCTTTTAGCCCCTGAACATACTGAACACGCAAAAGATAGGAACTTTTTAATTTTTACAGATTCAAAAAATTGCCTTGAAGCACTTGAATCATTGAAGACACTTCATAATTGTTCACCTGTTAGTTTAAAAAGACTTTGTACAATTGTAAGCAAAACTATAGTCGCAAAACACCCATGTTCAGGTTGATAAATGCAACAATTTGTATTTAGAAGTCAATAAATTTTAAATCAGTAAACCCTCAATAAAGAATTTAACTCAATTGTAAAGTGAGCTTCAAACCTTTGCTCTTATTAAATAGTTATATATATATATATATATATATATATATAAGATACAGTCGATATCGAAACATCAGACTATTAATAATTTTTTCTTGGATTTTTCTAGCAAAAATGCTATCCATGTGATACTACTACTACTACAAATAATAATAATAATAATAACTTTATAGCGCCTTTAAAAGTAACTTTCACAAAGCGTTGATTTATTCAAAACTTATTAAATTAAACCAAATTACAGCACAAATGAAACCCATCACTCATTAGAAATCTCAAACACAACAACAAAGTAAAATGCAATGCTATTTGGCCCTAAAGAGAGAATACTCCATGGCATACTGCAGTGACAGACAGAAACTGAGAGCCACCTTGACCAGGTACAGACTCAGTGGACACAAGTTCACAATAGAGATGGGCAGACACAGGGAAAACATGGCTGCCACGAAAGAGAGAGTGGCTGCATTCAAAACCGCATACTTGCAATAACATGTAAATGTTATTGCATGTGCAATTCTTTGCATTTTCGGGGAAATCTAATACCTAATTTATTTTTTTGGATAACATTCAAATACTTAGGATGGCGAATTGCCTCCATGCCACAAAGAAGAGCCTGAATGTCCATCTTTCAGTCTGGTGACTTTTTATCTTTAATTTGCTTTCCATTTGGTGTCTAACACACACTTTGTTTGAGAAATGACCCCACCCTCTCTGTCTTTCCAGGATGTGCCGGACACAAAGGCTGACAGTGATGTAGTCTCTAGTCCTGTAACAGATAACTTGGAATCAAATTGTGCTTCTGTAAGTGAAACAGTTTACCATACTTATTCTATTAAAAGTAACAAATAATAAAATCATAATACAATAACAAATGCAATTAAGTAAACACTTCAGCATGTCTGGAGCAAGACAATTATCCATTGCATATTAATTGTACTATGACTAATATTTGTTAGAATAATGTTTACATTTTTCATTTTTCTGTACCATGCAAGAAAATTGGGTAAAAGAAAAATATAGAAACAACACTAAAAATCATTAGAAACATAATAGTAGGCTACTGTAGAAAAAAGTTCTTATTTCTTGTTGTTATTACTGTAGTGTAATCTGTGTTAGCGTTCACTGGAAATATGTATTTAACTTTTTAACACATAGCCAGTTACTTATCTCTGTCCGCGAAGGTTTTAATGTTCCAACTCACATTAATTTAATTTGGAGCTTGGCTGTATCAAGACATTTCTGATATTAATATACGGAATTTCACCTAATAAACAGGGAAAAAGTAAAGGCATAAAGTAAAGGAAAGTTGAAAGTAAAGGAAATTATATGACAGATGTAAGGTTAAGATATTACAAACATGTAGCCTTTATCTACTAATTTGTAAAAAAAATGTATGTATTACAGATTTCTGACAAGGATATAGACCAAAATAAAGAAATTAAATTCTTCACATGTTCTTTGCCACGTCAGCCATGTTTCTTTTTCATTGAACGCAAAGACTGGCAAGAGCTAAGACAACACCAGGAAGGCAGACTTTTTCAAGGACTCCAATGGACAAATGTAATTGCCAAGGGCATCAAATCCATTCATCCATACTGCAGCTTTGCTTTTAAGCGACACAGAGTGAAAACCCTGGGGTCACAGACACAGGGTCCAATTTTTACATGTAAGGGGTACTGTCGTTTTGAAGACTGCCCAGTGGAAGTACATGTTGAAGTTGCTGATGAGAGCTCCCTAAAAGCAGCAGTGGTTTTCTCTGGAGGTGATGTATGCCATAACAGCAAAGAACTGCAAAGAAGGCCAGTGCGTGCAGCCGCACGACAGGCAACTGCAGAACTCCTGGAAACAAAATTACCGCGGAGTTTGTATTTGGAGTCCATGCAAAAGATTACACCAATAGTCATCGATTCAGGGTGCAGGGATGATGCCCCAACTAAAAATGTGCTAAAAAACATTTCATGGAGTGAAAGAAAAAAAACCCGACTTCATTCTGATGAGCTTCCAAGTTCAAAAGAACTGACTGACCAACAGCGTGGCATAGACAATGATGTCCTGCAGAAGGTAATGATGCACCCCAAAGGAGTTATGTTGTGGTCAGATAAGACACTTTCTGTCTTCTACAAAAGATGTAAGAATGACATAGTGTACTTGGATGCGACAGGGAGTGTAATTAAAAAAAACATTTCAGAAAGTCCACTATACTATGTTTATGAGCTGGTTGTTAGAAATCCATCCAAGGGTGCATCACCTTTACCTGTGGCAACCTATGTCACATGCGACCACACCACAGCATCTGTGACATACTTCTTGCAGGCTTTCCAGACTGATGTCATCAGGATGTATGGAAATGTGGCAATCAAAAGGCCAGTCATGATAATATGTGATGGCTCCCTTGTGCTTATGCACTCCATTTCTATTACATTCTGCAGAACAGGTCTGGAGGATCTGCTGCATAAGTACTTCCTCTTAATAACTGGACAGCATCCAACAGAAACATTTGACCTCCCCATTCTTCATAGATGTTTAAGTCACATCATGAGGAATGCCAAGGATCTTTGCAAAAAACAGTATGTATTTATGGGGTATGATCACTGTACATACAGTTTGAAATGAAATGTACAATAATAATAATAATTGTTTTTTTTCTTTTCTTTCTTTCTTTCTTTGTAGAATTCCCAAACACTACACACTGGCAATGCACATCTTTGGCCTCCTTGCATGTTGTTCAACACTGAAAGAGATGGATGAGGTGCTTTCTAGTTCAACAGTACTGTTTTGCAGTCCTTGCAATGGAGCAAATGTAGCAAAGCACTACAATAACCTGCAATTGCTTATGCAGCAAAGGGGTACCTTTGAACTAGATGACAAAAACATCATTGCTGAAGACTACAAGGTATTAAATAATGTTACAATTGAAAAAAAATTTCAGCACATGGCCTCACAGCTATAATACAGTATGTATACTGTAGAATAAAAACCAACCAGACCTGCTTGCCATTGTTGAACCCGCTGCAGAGTAGACATCTATGGGTTAAAATGTATTTACTCATAACTGGCTCACAGGCGAGGTATGTAGGGCAAACAGTGCAGCAGCATAATCATGAAAATATACTTAAAAATGCACAAATGTAGTGTTAAACAGTCGCAGTGACTTGTTATCATCTAAACACATTAATGCAACACCGTGTTGTGCTCATATGCCAATC